GGGGGGAAGAGGAGGAGGGGGAGGGGGAGGAGGAGGCCCCAGCCTTAGTAGAGACCACAGACTCCATTCCATAGTCTGGGGCCCCCGGCCTGGTGTTCAGCGGGGGACCACTTACCTCCTCTGAAGCTCGCTGCCTCCGCTGGGTGAGAAGATGGGGTGCAGGCTGAGGCAGGGACTGTGTGCAGGAGGTGAGGTGGCAGGCTGGTGTGGGGGGTGTCAGCAGGAAGGGGACATGGGTGGAGATGGGGTGGGAGGGGCCGGTGTGCAGGGGGAGGCGGCTTCCCCGCCCCGCGGAGGGTGAGGGTCTGCTGGGAACCACAGCCCGGTCCCCTGCAGATCCCTGGCAGGGGAGTTTTCTGGAAGGCCCCATGCGTGGAGTAAGCTCTGGTGGACACGTGAGCATATGGGGGCAGCGTGGGCTCTCGGTGCCCGAGCACAGGCTGAACGCGTGAGTGCCTCGTGCGGGCCCAGCGAGGCTGGCTCCTGCGCCCTCAGTTTCCTCTTCTGCAGAGGGATCTGAGTTCCCGCACCCCTATGTGCACACATGTCCCTTGCATGATCTGGCAGTAGGGGGCAACCCCCAAACCCAGCCCCTGCCCTGGAACAGGGCAATTCCACCCCCCTCCCCCGCTTGGGCACAGGCTGGGCTCTGTGGCCACTGGGAAATGTCTCTGCTGGGAGAGAACCCTGACCTGGGCTCCGCTGGTCAGGGCCATGGGAAACAGGGTCACCTCTGCCTGGTGGGAGGAGAAGGCTGACCACAGGACCGAGGCTGGACAGACAGGCTGGGCCTCCCAGGTGGCGGCTTTGTTGCGTCCAGCAGCCAGGAGCCCTGGCTTCCCTAGAGAGGCGTCTGATCTTCAGCAGCTGAAGTTACCTCCGGCATCGCTGTCCCCGTCCCTTCCCCTGCCCTCTCACCCCAAACGGCAAAGAAGGCAGCCCGTGATTCCCTGTGGGAGAGGCTCCTCGTTCAGAGTCGACTCCAAGTCCTGTGTGCAGGTTCTCAAAACACGATCACAAGCCAGGTGCCGTGACTCGCACCTGTCCTCCTAGCCACTCAGGAGGCTGAGGACGCCTGACCATCACGGTTCAAAGCCAGTGGGGGCAGAAAAGCCCGTGAGACTCTTATCTCCAATTAACCAGTAAAAAGCCAAAGGTGGAGGTGTGGCTCAAGTAGAATGCCAGCCTTGAGTGGAAAACGTAAGGGGCAGTGCCCAGACCCTGAGTTCAAGCTCTAAGCTCTAGTATCAACACACACACATACACACACACACACTCCACATTCCAGAGCCCATGGTACTGAGTGGTCAGCAGCCTTGTCACTGAAGGCTGAACTTGAGGCCACCCAGGTAGAGGGAGCAGAGGGCAGGCTCTGGAAGATGACACACCAGCAGTGGAAACATTTCATCAAGGACAAAGGAATTTTCCAGAGAATCTTGCCCCTGCCTTTCTTGAATACATAATTACTTCCTAAAAGTCAAGCCCCCAAAGACTTCAAAAGTGGATAATTTGACATCATAAGGTAAAACAAAGGGAAAGAGGCCACAGGCGGTGTTTAGGAGAGCAAGTTCCTTAATGATTTCATATGAAGTGATTTGAAATGTAGAACCTACTTTGGATGGGCATGGAGAGGTTACCTTATAGCATGGCATGGGACTGATCGTGAACAGTATTATTTACTATTTCAATGGCCTGTATGATTTGGGGCAAAAAGAAAATTGGCTTTTTTTTTTAGGTCTGGTCGTGGGGCCTGACCTCTGGGCCTGGGCGCTGATCCTCAGCTCTTCAGCTCAAGGCTAGCGCTCTACCACTTGAGCCACAGCACCACTTCCAGCTTTTTCTGCTTATGTGGTGTTGAGGAATCGAACCCAGGACCTCATGCACACAAGGCAAGCACTCTACCACTGAGCCACCTTCCCAGCCTGCAAAAAGAAAATTGAAATCTCCAATCCTCTGTTGGTTTACCAACAAACAGGGGTAGAAATCTGTGTCCTGGTTGCTCGAAAAGATGAAATTAAGTTCTATTAATGTAATCCATAAGCTACAACATTACATATAAAAACCTCTGCTGAAGGCAAGAGTTATCCATCAGAAGCATCCATCCCCAAGACCACCCTCGGCCCACTCGGGTACACCGTGCTGCCGGAGGGGCCATCCGCGGTGGGAGACGGGGAATTTTACAAGTGGAGCACCATAGCCACGGGGCCAGATGAAGAAGGAAAAGTTCTGGAAAAGAGTCGGGCAAAGCCTTCACCTGATTTCCTTGGTTCCTCCAGAGGAACTAGTGTTCGCGCTAGTTGGACTGTGGCTCTGTCCCCAGGACCCTGCGTCCAGGCCAGTCACCCCTCCGCAGCGGCCCCCACCTTGTACAGACCACACGTGGAGAGCTGTGTCCACTTTCGGAGCAAGACTCCTCCAGCTGGGCTCCCTCCGGGCTATTTACCTTTATCATGCGCAACAGAGGACTCAGGTGATACTGTTCTTGTCTCAGATTGAATGAATGAAGCAATCAACGAAAACCAAACTACAACAACATGCTACTTACTCAGCTCCCCAAACACCCCACTGGCACAAAGAACAAACCGTCACTCATGCTGGGCAGTGGTGGCAAAGGGTCAATCATAACCAAAGCCAGTGTCGTTCTAGACACGGATTGGGGCCTTCAGTCCATTGCTGGGGCTGAAGGCCGCTGACCTGTGTGGGGCTTGTATGACTAGGATGGCTTGCCCTCGCTCAGGGGCCACTCCCTATCCATGAAGACTATCCATAGTCAGGAATAAGAGAGGGCGGGGCTGAGCAGACAGTCCTGTGGTGAGCAGGGAGAAGCAGGCTTGATCCAAATACACCCCAGAGTGTAAGGCAGCTGAGGAGACGAAGATGGAGCACACAGGAAGGTGCCCAGGGGTGAGGTGTTGATCAGACTTGCTGCTGCTAGAAGAGCAAAGCCCCAGTGGGGAGGGGCAGGGAGGGTCAGAGAAGGGCAGGGGAGGGGCAGGGAGGGTCAGAGAAGGGCAGGGGAGGGGCAGGGAGGGCAGGCAGGGGCAGGGAGGGCAGGGAGGGGCAGGGGAGGGCCAGGCAGGGGCAGGGAGGGGCAGGGGAGGTGGAACTGATGGCTTCACCCTGATGTTGAACTTCTGAGTTTGGTCTCCAGAATTTTAAAAAGTTTTGGGGTTTTCTTGTTTTTTCCTGCTCCCTCAGCTTTAACTAACATTTCAATTTGACAACTACAGCTTGCTTCCTATGGTTCATGCTGGTAGCAGGAAAAGATAATTAACCAACCACAAATATTTCTATGTCAGTCTGACTTCCTGGTGAGAAATGCAAAGCTCGTGGGTGCTGATCTAGTCTGAAAATGGCAGAACGTTTCCTTGAGTTACGAACCACAGATGGCCAGGGATGGCGGCCGGGCCTGTCAGTGCCGCCACAGAGAGGCGGAGGAAGGACAGCCCCCCAGCAAGGAAAACGTGATCCTTAAAAGCCAAGCTGAACATGGTGTCACGTACCTGCAGTCGCAGCTAGTCGGGACACAGAGGTAGGAAGATCATGTCTAAGGCCGGCCCAGGCACAAGGCTCAAAACGCTACCTGAAAAAGAAGGCAACATGGTCGGCGCTGTTAAGTCAAATGGTGGAATGCCAGCCTCACGAGTGCCAGGCCCTGAGTTAAACCAGTACCACAAAGGGTAAGGTATGGGGGGAGGCGGGTCATAATGGAGACAGGGACTCGGGTTCAAGCCTAGGGCTCCCCATATGCTAATCCTATGTCCAGAGCTTCTGAGCCTCCCTTTCCTTGTCTCCCACACCAGAGCGTGTGCGTGCCCCTGCAATGGCTAGACCTCAGCGCTCAGGCACAGATCTCTACATTTCTGTGACTTCAATCCCAGACAACCCAGCAACAGGGGAGGGGGACAGAGGAAGAGGGGGAAAAGAGAGGGAGGGAGGGAGGGAGGGAAGGGGAGGGAAAATGGAGGGAAGAAAGAAGGGAGGGGGAGAGAGAGAAAGAGAGCATACACACACACAGATTATTTTTAAAATAATTGTTGGTTTGAAGTATTATTTAAAACAATATTTTAATTATTAATTTTTTAAAGGGGCCACAGTCCTTGGGGAGTTTGGGGGAACCGGAGACTACAGAGGCGGCAGCTCAGCACAGAACATGCCAATGTTTTTCAACTGGCTCCATTTTATTTTTAAAGCCCAGTACGGGAGATTTGCTCATATATTTTAATACTATGAACATTTAACATAGATAAACATTTTAAAAAATAGAAACATACATGCCAAATGTGGCACCTAATTTCAGAGCCCCTTCCCGGCAAAGCCCCCAAAAGGATTCACAGACTTCTGATTACGAACAAATGAGGCTGAAGCTCTCAGGGTTGTTTCCTTTTGAGTCATTTTATTTCACAGACAGAAAAGTCTGTTCTCTGGCCAAAGACCACATCAGCAAGCCTGGCCAGAAATCTGGTCGTCAGGGAGCCAGACGAGAGAGAATTAAGGACTTGGCCAGCAGCGCCTCAACTCACAACCGCTCCCCCCACCCCCTGCCCCCCCATGTAGCATTTCATCTACCCATTTAATTGCCATTTCTTGGAATGATTATGAAAGAGCAGCTTCCACTTGCATGATGTAGTTCAGAACAGCTTTTGCAAGCTGCATGTTATTTTGTTTTTCATCTCAGTTCTCTACTGTGGTTTAAAAAAATACATATAAGCAAACTATAACTGCACTTGAACACAAAAAAATATTATGCAGCCTTGAAAATGGATATGGATTCTTGGAAAGATGCTTCTATTAAAATAAAGAAGAGAAGCCGGGTGCCAGTGGTTCACACCTGTAATCCTAGCTACTCAGGAGGCTGAGATCTGAGGACCACGGTTCAAGGCCAGCCCAGGCAGGAAAGTCCATGAGGCTCTTATCTCCAATAACCACTAGAAAACCAGAAGTGGTGCTGTGGCTCAAGCAGTAGAGCACTCACCTTGAGCTGAAGAGCGCAGGGACAGTGCTCACGCCCAGAGTTCAAGCCCCACAACCAAAAAAATAAAAAAGGAAGAGGAGGAGAAAGGAAACAGTCAGAACCAAGACCCACTGCTGGGTGTCTGTGGCCAGCCTGGACAAACAGATCCTTAAGACTCTCATCTCCAATTAATCAGCAAAAAGTTGCAAGTGGAGGTCTGGCTCAAGTGGTAAAGCACCAACTTTGAGTGGAAAAAATACTAAACAAAAACATGAGGCATTGGGGTCAAGCCCCAATGTTGGTGGCATGCACACGTGCGTGTGCACGCACACATACACATATAAATGCACACACAGAATCAAGCCCTGCTTCCAGCGATGAAAACCTACAGGCAAATGGAGATGCAGCTCTTAGGGCACAAGGCTTGTATCTGTTTTCAATATATTCTTGGGGATTTAAAGTTGGAGTATTAACTAGCCTGCTCCCCAGATGGCCACCCAGCTCCTTCTGTGGCTTCTCGCCACATGTGGAGCTCTGAACCCCCATGTCCGCAAGCCCCCAGCTGGCATAAGAGAGCACAGAGAGGGCTGGGTGCACGTCTCCAGCGCCCTTCCCTCGGTTCTCAGCAGACCCCACGCAGCTTCCGTCCTCGGCAGAGACCTGGGCAACCGGAGTGAGGAAGTGCCATGTCTAAATGCACTAGGCCCTCTCGTTTTCCCTGCTCCTGCCAGCTACAGGTGGACTGGCATCCAGGGTCCAGTACACGGTGCCATGTTGGTGGTGAGAAACTTCAGAGGCCCTCGCTGCCAAGCGCCAGCCCGGCCCAGCTTGATGCCAGGGGTCTCCACGGCGCCCCCGGGAGCGTGAGGTCCCAGCTTCCCCTGCAGGCACTGACAGGAGACTGCAGTCGGGCTGACCAGTGGAGAGGGACAGGCGCTGTGGTGTGGCCTCCTCAGGAAAGGCAGGGCCAGCAGCCTCCCCAGCTGGGCTCCGGATGGCCTCCCCTCATCCCATCCAGCCCTGATCTGGAGGAAGCGAGCAGGAGCTGAGGACAGGTCCCCGGTGCTGTGGGATCCGGAGGCTCTCGATGGGTTGGGCACTGCAGCACCCTGGGGACAGCTCCCAGGCGGTGGTCAGCTTTGGGTTGGAAGGAACAACGGGAGCACAGGGCCCATCACAATACAGGTTGTTTCCATGGTGTTTCCGGCTCCTGCTCAAACACTTCTTCCCATAATGCCTCGGGCTCCTCCTCAGAATTAATGAGTTAATACCTCTTGCAGAATCCAGCATGACCAATCAGATCCACTTTTGTACTCTTGAGCTATTGGCTAGCACCCATCAAACTTACTTCCATGCTGTGCCTCATGGCAGAGACCGATGAGGGGCCCAGGTCACTGACCAATCATGTCCCAGGGTGAGAGGAGACTTACTAAAGCATAAAGTCCACTTTGCTGGGGGACCTCAATGGACTCTCAGCTCTGAGACTCCTCTCTGGAGGAAAGTCTATATTCTCCAATTTCAATAAACTTGCTGCTTTACTATTTAAAAAACAAAACAAAACTGGTGTTACAGGGTGTCCTGTACCAGCCAGGCATGGTGCTGGGTGCTAGGTGCTGGTGTGCAGAGGGCCGGACAGTTTATCCTGATCTCGAAGAGCTCGGGGCTTGAGAGGCTAGTCGGCATTCAGGACAGGGTCCCAGTGGCGCAGAGGTGCTGGAGGACTCAGCGACAGCCTGGGTGCCATGAGCAGAGAGGAGACACCCACGCTGGCCCACGCTGGGCCCGTGCAGGACAGAGAAGCTGCGTCCGTGCGGGCAGAGGACACACGAAGCAGGCTGAGGCACAATCCAGAAGCCACGGCCCGGGGCAGATCTCAAGTCCATGCTGGCTTCAGGGAAGCAGATGTGGTGGGAAAGGTAACCACCTCTCTGCCCTCTGCCCTGTGTGTCAGTGGTTTAAGGTTTTCATCTCAGTGTGGTGATTTTGATCTAAGCTCCATCTTACTGAAGCTTCGTAACTTCCTTCTTTGCCAGCATCCCAGCATCTCTCCATCTAGCCAAAGCATCCCTTCAGAGCAGGTTCACCTGCCCGCCAAGCTGGCAGGGGCGGGGCCTGCCGCTCTGTCCAGCTGCTCATTCCCAGGAGGCTGCTAGACCGAGGGCGGCCTTCCATTCTTCTCCAGCAGCAGCTGCCAGGCCAAAGTCAGGCCCCGTCAAGCAGTTCCAGAGCTCCATCTGCATAGCGTAGCACACTCTGGGGGGAATGTTTGCAGCACAGGTCACAGCTGTGTGACTGGCCGCTGGCTCTGTGGACAGCTGACTCCACTGGGTAGGGGGCTGTGCACCTCACAGAGACAGAATGGCATCTTTCTCCCTCCTGGAGAAGAGTTGGGTTTGGGAGGCTGAGTCAGGGAGTGAGTCCAGAGGACAGAGTGCTCAGCCTTATCACCCAATGCCAAATGAGCACTCAAAACTATGTGCCAACCAGAAAATGAGTGGGTGATAAATACCATGGAGAGAGGGACACACAGCGCTGCCCCAGAATAGGATGGGGCTGGATGATGATAAAGGCAAATGCTCCCCTGGTCATAAAGCCTCGGAGAGAGGGAGGGGACCGCACACGGAGGCCTTGTCCCCTGAGGGCTCAGCATTGTAAAAAGTTGTGAAGGTGTCACCTGGGAGGTTTGTATAGCCTTCACCCAGCTTCCCTTGAATGATAACACTTTGCTGCAACTAAGGAATTCATATTAGTGGAATGATATTAATTGAACTTCAGGCTGACTTGATATTAATAGAGACTTCAGGCTGTTTTTCTACTTTACGTCCTCTGTGGTTGATGCACTAGGATTTGATCTAGGATGAGTTCTGCATTTAGTTGTCATAGCTCTTAGTGTCCTCTGGTTGGCGCCAATTTTTCCTTGTTTTCTACAATTTTGATAGTGACGAAGGTCACATACATTGGGTTTCTTGGCCATTTCCTCATGATTAGGACTACAGCATAGCCATATGCCTGACCTTGGTGAGCGGGTGAAGCTGGGCTTGGTAGGGTCTCCTACCAACATTCAGGATCCAGTTCTCATACAAAGTCAGGTGGATGAAGATTGCCTGTCTGGAGGGAACTCTCTAGAACCACAGACACACAGGGGTAACAACCTGCAGTTTGGTAGTGTGGGTCCATGAGGATGAAATCAACAGCCAATTACAGCGAACAGAACAAGTGTCAAAACCCTAGAATCTTCTAAGCTCTGCTCAAAACACATGACCAACCAACCTTCCTTTCCACGGTTGTCCTTTCCTGGGAAAGTTAATCCTTCAGCCAAGAAGCTCATTAACTCTATCTGCCGCCACCAACCCTTGCAATGCCCCCAAAGTGCCACAAGGTTGATTCAAAACAAAATAAAACAAAGCAAGAGCCAATCAGTGACCTTGAACCAGACATTCCTACACATACTGCCACCCTTGCTCAGCCCGGCACAGCAGATCTAGCTGCCCTCCTCTCCAGAGGTCAGTTAAGTTGCCTCCAGCTCCGTGGCTAGACTGTGCCCTCTCCCTGGCCCTGCCACACACAGAGAATCTGGGTCCTCTGCAGCTTGGAGCCCGCAGATGCAGGATCCTCCCTGAGGGACAGACACACTGTTACCAGTCCGAAATCTCTCTGCCATAGAGTAGAGCAAAGGAAGGCAGGCTCTGGTGGCTCGACCCTTGTCATTCTAGCTACCCAGGAGGCTGAGATCTGGGGATTGAGGTTCAAAGCCAGCCCGGGCAGTCATGAGACTCTTATCTCCAACCACCAAAAAGCTGAAAGTGGAGCTGTGACTAGCTAAGTAGTACAGTGCTAGCCTTAAGTGAAAAAGCTAAGGAATAGCACCCTGGCCATGAGTGTAAGTCCAATACAGCAAAAATAAGGAAAAGGAAGGAAGGAACGGAGGGAGGGAGGGAGGGAGGGAAGCACAAATTGTGAGGTAATCCATTGGTAGTCATGGCACAGACCATGGTAATGCCTTTCTCCATCTACAGCACCCAGAGCAAAGTTCCTGCCTGCTCATCTAATGTGCATGCCCCAAGCACTCAGTGCGGAGCTGGGAAGGAGAGAGGCCCACCGCATAGTGCAGACTCGGGAAGGAGAGAGCCTACCTCGCAGGGCGTCAGTGGCTTTTCATGGTGTCTCCCGAGCTCCCGGGGCCTGTGTGGTGGAGCGGCCTTCTAGCGGTAACCGGCAAGCTCTGGGTGCAGGTCCGAAGGAAAGGCCGGTCCCCAGGCTCCTCTCATCTCTATCAGTTTGTGTAGCTTGTGGCTTCCTGCTGGTAACAGGCAGGTGTGTACCCCATCAGCGAGCACTTCCCCAAGGAGCAGCTCAACATGCGCCCGGCACCTCCAAGCCTTCGGGGGTTCACCGCGTCCCGTGGCCCCTCCGCCCCCAGGGAAGCTGAGCAGGAAGGACAGTGGGCGCTGGCCTTTCCAGTCACCACGCCCCTCTGCCGCCACCGTGTTTTCTCGTGGGGCTTTGGTTTAACGGCATGGCTGGTGCTCTTCCTCTCTGGGTCGGGCAGGGTGAGCAAACCCGCACCTGATGCTGGAAGGCGATTCCGCTCAGCCTCGCCCATGGGGAATGCGGGCTCTATCTGTGCCACCTGTGGGAGCCAGGCAGCGCTCTGTCAACTCACTGGTTTTGCTTTGCTTTTCAGTGAGACTAAGAATAGCTAGGTCACAAGACACGGGAAGACTTCGCTGGCAGAATGCGGTGACTGGCAGGGCCAGAACTGGTGCTCAATAAATGCACATCCACGGTGTGTTTTCCGGCACTGGAGTTCTTCAACAGCTCCATTTCACTTGGCTCTGAAAACTCGAGGAGCTTAGGCAGTGGGGATGCAGACAGAGTCCCCAACATCTGGAGTGGCAAATTAGTGTCCCATCCCACACCACTGAGGGACCACAGGACCAGGGAAGTGACCTGAGGCCCCGAGCCACAGGAGCTGCTCCTCACCGAGGTGGGTGGATCCTTCCTCCCCCTCTAGTCTGGGAGCCGTGTGTGTGTGTGTGTGTGTGTGTGTGTGTGTGTGTGTGTGTGTGTGTGATGAGTCAGTGTCTACACAACAGCCCAGAATCTCCGTCTCCTCCTGTAGTTTCTTTCCTCAGACCTTAGGGCAAAGGCAGTGGTTTTCCCACTCACCACTCAACTTAGGGAGAAAATCCATTTTCCTCTCACACCCGGCTTGTCTGCTTAGGTTAGAGCATGGGGATGGCGAGTTCTCCGACATCCACAGCCCCAGCAGCAGCACGGGGCTGCCAGGTCTAAGGTGCCATAGGAATGATCGATGCGTGTCTTCGCCCAAAGGCTTTTTTAAGAGAACAACTGGATTCAAGTCTAAATAGTACCCATCACAGCTGGGTGCTGGTGGCTCACGCCTGTAATTCTAGCTACTCAGGAGGCTGAGATCAGAGGGGCATGGTTGGAAATCAACACAAGTGGAAAAGTTGCTGAGACTCTTATGTCTAATTAACAAATAAAAAGCTGGAATGGAGGCGTGGCTCAAGTAGTAGATCATCAGCCTTGAGCAGAGAAAGCTCTGAGTTCAAGCTCTGATACTGGTGTGCACACTCACACTCACACACACACACTCACACACACACACACACTCACACACACACACACACACACATATAGCATCTATCACCCTATTGGGACACAGTAAGCTAAATTACTGCTGTCCAGTGTGAAAATCTCAGTTCCACATCTGATCTGTAAAGTTGCTTTGTCTTCTGTATTTGGCAGCACGGAGCCCAGAATGATGTACAGAGTACTAGACATGCTCAGTGCATGGTAGCTTTTATTAATTTTATTACTGTGTTGAACTCTTAACTCCTAGTAGTTGGACCTAACCATTAAACACAAGTTGGAAGAGCTCCAAATGCTTACAGTGTAAAACGTTACTGACTTGAGATGAGATTACTCTGGGTTTTTGTTTGATTTAATGAACACAATAAACTTCTGAGCATCTACTCTGCAGAAGGCGCCGCAGAGCTGGAGACGCAGGTATAAATGGGCACAGGGCCTTCTGCGGCAGTTGCCAGGACGCGGCTTTGAACAGGAGCTGTGACCAGGAATTCTCCAAACTGCCTCTCCACGCATCACCCCTGGGTTGAATAATTTACTGATTTCCAGGGAATCCTGAGATGCTGCCTCAAGTGCCTCTGATGTTTTCTCAGTGGAGCCTGAGTGCATAATGTTGGATGATGTTTATGTACTTGGATCTGAGGCTATAGAGAGTATAAGGAAGAGCTAGAAACCCAGCTTCTTAAGGAGAAATCCAGTTTCCACTACCACTGGTCTACCTACTTGAGGCTAGAGGGGTGGGAGAGCTTGCAGAGCTATGCTGGCCTGTGTGGAGCCTGAGAGGGGGAAATTCACCTTTCTGTTACCCTCCCTACACAGATGCTGGGCCACAAACACGCACACGCACACACACACACACACACACACACACACACACTCACGCACGGATTCTAGCAGCCACTCAGAATAGAACGAGGAAATGACATTGCTGTTAGGCTCCAGATGTGTGAGCAGAAGTGAAAGTTTCAGCCCATCTCTCCCCCACAGGGTCACAGGGTCCACAAACGGGAGGTGGTGGGAAAGGATCAAAAGACCCAAGACGGGTGTGTGGCTAAGGTGATGGGTGTCATCCATTAGACAGAGACCCTTAGACATGTCCTCGCAGCAGAAGGAGACCAGACGCCGCTCTGAGACTCCTACTTCAGCGTTCCACCTCATTAGCTCCCAACTTGTTTTTGCACATTTGAGGCGACTCATGCAAATTCAGAGCTCCCCTTCTCCCAGTCTACAGCAGCCTCCTCATGCCAGTTCTTATCTGGTTACCACCAAAAGCTGTGTGCAGTAGAACATTTGAGTGGAAGAAAAATACAATCTATCCCGTTTCCTTTCCAAGATGATAGTGTGCGAAGCTGGCCGGAGCAAAGATGGATAACATTGTAAAACGAAACGGAACCATCATTGTAGGCACCAGATAATGGCCAATGGCTGACAACAAATTGAGTGAGAAGGTCCTCATCTTGAGGAATTGCTAGTGGACCCGAACGGCCCTGAGTCTTCTTACCTAGTGCCCCACCTCGACGGCACCCACCTCATTTTGGATGAGGAGAGACAGGATTGGGAGTGTGGGTGGTGGGCAGTGAGGACCAGCAGCTGTATCAGCAGCATTCCGTCTGGGATGAGATGGTGGAACCCTGCATAGGCTCAGAGTATAAGAATTCTAGACAAAAAAAAACAAAAAACAAAAACAAAAAAAAAAGAATTCTAGACAAGAAGGGAACTAGCAGCTTTGCTGGCTGAGGTGGTAGCCTCGGCTCAGGGTGGACAGAAGACCAGCCAGAAATAGAATGGGGTGAGCCTATGTGTAGGAAGGCCTAGAGAGCAGTGAGACCCTTCCTACCTGACTGCTCACACAGGGGTGCCAGGACGGGTGGCAGAGACCCAAGAGAGGACGCCCGGCATCGAGAGCAGGGTAGTCAGGGACTGGCTGTGGACTGGCTTGTGTTTCTCCAGCTACACACAGCTTGGCAAGTGGGGGGTGGAAGGCTTCCTTGTTCAAGAGATCTGAGCAGAATCTCTGCCCAAATACTGATCATTATTATACACCCTTAGAGAACCAGATCAAAAAACAAAGAAAATACATGTGAAGCCAGGTGCCAACGACTCAGATCTGTAATCTTAGCTACTCAAGAGTCTGAGATCTGAGGATCATGGTTTGAAGCCAGACCAGGCAGGAAAGTCCATGAGACTCTTATTTACAATAAACTACTCAGAAAGAAGACAGAAGTGGAGCTGTGGCTCAAGTGATAGAGCACTAGCCTTAGGCACAAAGAGGCTCTGGGACAGCGCCCAGGCCCTGAGTTCAAGCTCAAGAATGTGATATTAGCAGCTCCATACCATCAAGTAACGAACTCTGAAATTTAACTAAGTTGCTTCAACAAACAAACCACTAACTTTCCAGAAAACAAAACCAATTTCCTATGATGTCCAGGTTTCAGCTGGAAGTTACTAGACATGGAAAAAACAGGGAGTGACCAGAAAGACAAAACCAAGCAGACAACGGATTCTGACAGGACTTCAGGCCACGGCTACAGGTCTGTCCAAGGAATCAAAGGAAACCGTGCTGAAGAACTAAATGTGGGTTAAGGAGAGTCAACAAATGAGAAATCTAAGGGAGAAATGAAAATGATTTTTTTGGGAGGGGTCTGGTTGTGGGGCCTGAACTCTGGGCCTGGGCGCTGTCCCTCAGCTCTTCAGCTCAAGGCTAGCGCTCTACCACTTGAGCCACAGCGCCACTGCTGGCTTTTTCTTTTTGCTTATGTGGTGCTGAGGAATCGAACCCAGGGCCTCAGGCATGCAAGGCATGTGCTCTACCACTGAGCCACCTTCCCAGCCCCAGAAATGAAAATGATTTTTCATGTACATTTCTAGACCAGAAAATGGCAAAAGTTGAAAAGTCATGTGGTAGACGCAGCAGCACATCTGAGGTAGTAGAAGACAGAAGCTATGAATTTGAAGACAGAGTAACAAGGTTTATAAAATCTAAAGCAGAGAGCAGAAGGAGCTAAGGACATAAGCAGAGTCTCAGAGACAGCCAGCCTATGTAGATCATTCAAAGCGCTCTGAAAGGAGAAGAAAGAGATAAAGGCATACGCCCATTTCATCTTTGGGTTCATACTATATCTTTCTGGACATCCATCTTTCCCCTCCGTTTTATAAGGTTTTTGGTCATTATTTCTGTAAATAAACTGTCTGGGCACATTGCTTTTTCTTCTCTTTCTGGGATTCTGATAATGTATATATTGGTTCAATTGATGATGGTCCATAAATTGCACAATTTTCTCCTCTTCTAACAGACAATTCTTTCTTCTGCTTGATTAAGTCTCCTGTGGATAGTACATATTGAAACCGTTCACTTCTTTCTTTGTATTCTTCAATTCCAGAATTCTTTTTTGGTTATTTCTTGTTTAAGCACTGTTTCATAGATGTAATTGACTTGTCTGGTTTTTGATAGGCTTCTTAAAGGAACAATGATTTGACAGGCAGTAATGGCGTTGTATTCATTTCGGGTTGTGTTTGGAAGTTTGTGGCTTTAGGCGGTATCATGCTTCCCTGCTATTGTGTGTTCTTTGTCCTTTATTGCATCTGCACACTTGGAGATGCAGTTGCCTCTTCATGGCATCATGGGCTGCCATGGCGGGGAGAGATCTCCACTTATGAGCGAGGACACGGTCTTGGTGGGATGTGGAGGTGTCAGGCCCAGTCATGCGCTGGGACACAGGTCACAGGACAGGAGGGGTAGCTGTCGTGGAGGCGGTGGCAATGCCGTGTGTGGTGGGTGAGCACTGCTAGTGATAGGGACATTAGCCAGGTCCACGTAGCACAGAGCCCTGGAGCTGGGAGGTCAGCATGAGCACACGCATGGTGGTGAGTCCAAGCCCAGATGTGAGCATGAATGCATATGTGGCGGCAAGTAGAGCACCGAAAAGACAAAGGCTCTGCCCTGGGCCCCGAGGGCACAGCAGCAGATCTGGGTCTAGTAA